TATATTTACATTCTCTACGTGCATTAGATAAAGTATATGATAACCTATAAAGTCAAGCACTTTAAGGAAACTTGTATATAAGCCCTTTTTGCTTCTCTAAATGATGTCCCAGGTTTGGCCTTATGATTAACCTGCCCGAACTGTGATTCCAAGGATTTATCGTTCATGTCTCTTTGCAGCAAAAACGCGCTCCGCACTTTAGGCATGTGAGTGCGTTACACAATGTGAATCAATTCCTACTTTAGGGTACACAAGATTAGCCAAAGAGTTAGCAGTGGGTGCTATTGATTAACTGTTATTGATTTAGATCTATCAGTTCTAAATTAAAAACGGTTATGCACAGTGTAGCTTTGCGCGAAAAATATTCAAACAGAGAAACAAACTCTAAATGATTCTTCATTCGATAACATTATCTTAGTTGTAATCTTAAGGGAACTCGTCAACAACACCCGCAGCCTACTCTTTTGCCAATGAATATGGAATTGACCGTCCCATTATAACACTTCCAAGGCTGAAAGGGCGAGAAAGTTTGGTGACATAATTTGAAATTACGACTTGCAGATTGCGAGTCGAGACCCTTGCCTAAGCCATGCCAGGTCTTGTGAAGGTGAAACGTTATCTTAATTAAAGTTTTTGATTTACCCATTTAAAGATGCATTTTAGAAGTGTCGATAAGTCGTGGGCACTTCCCCAAACATTATGAAAATGTAACAGCCCAGAGTAGTTTTTAGTTTCTAATTTCAATGACCTGTTTAGAAAGAACACATGAATATTAAGTACCAATTCACTCTGTATAGACCACCTTTCTTGTTCTGCTGATTAAAACAACAACAACATCAAGTAGTGACCTTAAAGAGCTCACCTTTTTGCTGACAGCGAGGTGCGTCTCCTTTAAACCCACAGTAAGGGACGTCTGGAGGGGGCTTAGTCCAACCTCCTGGCCAATTAATATCAACATTAGGAATAAGTTCAAATTTCTGGTGAGCACCATAGTACGTAGCAACAGGCTGTTTAAGGTAGAACAAAACGTTTAAGTATTCTGGAGCATTCAGTTAACAGTTATTTTAATACGTTAGACAGCAGAAGCTCGAGCTCAATTACTGTTACTAAAATATAGTGTTACTTAGTCGTGATAAGGTTTTGTTATTGTTGGGAATGTGAGACTGACACAAGTCAATAAAAGTGTAAATTCAGCATCTGTTTTATTTTCTATTTTCCTATAGATCGGACACCCAGGTTTCTAAAATATCACGGAAGTGTAGTTCAGATAATAAGTTCGTTTTTTTTCTTGGGGGGGGGGGACACTAATCCTAGTAATCTCTTCTTCTGACTAAGCAGCTCCGATATGATTTCTAGATTATGCTTGTGAGAAAGTTTTTTTTTAAGATTATTTTTTCTTCTACCCAAAATTGAGGCCTTAATTTTTCTTATCGAACAAAGTCCAGCTAAATTGGTCTAATTCGCGTGCAAACGTTAACTTTGTAAAAGTTACATTCGGTTTAATTTTGTTTCATGATGAAGGATATTATGCAGTAGTCTCTGAATGAGTACACTTTCAAACAGCATACATCTGAGTTAAATACTCTCGCCTTAATATCGTTATTAGAAAGTTAAACGACAAATTAAAAAATGCATATCATAATTACATCTTATCACATGGACGCACTAGTAATAATACTTTTTTAAATCTGTAAATGTTAGCATTTTTTTTAAAGTAATTGAACTGTAGGTTTGAATTATTTTGAAAGTATTAATGTAATGTTGCCAGTAAAAGAATGTTCATTATTTTCTTTGTACACAGGCGCGTTTAAACATTATTTTCAACATTTAATTTTTCAAGTTATAGCCATATTTAAAAAACCTCTTAGCTATGACAGACTGAACTAAACAGTGTGTTTGTTTGTTTAATTTCGCGCAAAGTTACTCGAGAGTTATCTGCTAGTCGTTCGTAATTTTGAAGTAACAGACGAGAAGGAAGACAGCTAGTCAATACCACCTCCCGCCAACTCTTGGACTACTTATTTACCGACTAACAATGAGATTTACTGATACATTATAATGCCCCATAACTGAAAGGTCAAGCATGACTGAAAGGTCAAGCAAATAAAATATCAAAGGAAAATATAAAACTAATGGTATTCTAAATTATATCATGAATAGAAATATTTTTAACATTTTAATGTTCGATGTTTTACGAAATGGTTCTAATACTGACACTCACTTCGGATAACTTATCTTCACTTGCACCAATACTAGCAAGCGAACGGTATCCTCTGTCTTGAAATATGATGTCGTCCCATTGAACTTTCCACCACAAGTTGTTGAGCTCGGACTCCAGTTTCAACTTTCTATAAATAATTTAATCATCATAAAAGTTGGCCTACACTACCCACAACTGTTATAGTCTCGTTACCTATCATTATAGTTTTTTTTTAATTGATTGGGATGAAACTCAAGGCGAAACTACATTAAAATTGCGATGTGACGTACTTAAAAGCATTAAAATACTTTATTGTTGAAAGAAAAAAAAAATCTTGTTTCGTGGGTTGCCAATACGTCTCAACTTGTTGTAAAAAGTATTAACATAAAACAATGATAAAACCCTCAAATATTCGTTCACCACCAAAACTAAACTTATACAAGTCATGTAATTCTATGTCAAAACACCAATCTGTTCTGCTTTTGGTGTGTGTGTGTTTATATATATATATATATATATATGTAGATGGTATATTCACGACTTTTATACATAAGTTAGTAAAAGTTTTTCACACTTGAACATCAGCTTACTGCAGAGTGCAATACCTTAATAACAGAGTTTAGTTGGGTGAATTAGACATGCCTAAGAGAAAATAAATTATTATAAAAGTTACAAAATTGGTCAAGCTAGTTCATTACACGTATGTATATTTTCCTAAAGAGACTGGCCAAAGGTGGACTTGTTAATAGCTGGGAGCGCTATAACAGTGACTTGTTTGTGTGTTTGTTTTAGAACAAAAGCCATCTGAGGTTATTTGTTGAGTTCACCACGGGGAATCGAACCCTGGATTTTAGAGTTGTAAGTACGTAAACTCACCACTGTCCCACCAGGGGGCATAACAGTGACACTCAATTCCGTAGAAAGATGTCATGCACCTCAGAGAATTATGGGAAACAGGGTTTCACCCAGAGTTAGACACCAGCCGGTCCTGTCTCACTTGCTTTCGCTTGCCACCGTAAAAAACAAAACGAAAAAACACTCATTAGTATTAATGGCACTGCTCTTGATGTGACTTGCATTTTAGAGGAGCTCGCGCACCATCAGTGTGCCGCTACCCACACTTTGAGAACCACTGTAATTGTGTGTATAAGAAAGAAGAAAGATAATTTTACCATTTTCTGAAAGACAAATCTATGGGAAAAGAATGGGTGAGACGGATACCCAGAAAATATTTCATATCTTGCAACAACGATATCAATAAGCATTTTCTTCTAGCGTCTTGTCTTTTCTTTATTGCTTAGTTTGGGCCCTACTATTGTTAATTATGTCGTAAACCAATGTTTTGTTTTATTTTCATGAAATATTCACGAATTTTACTATATCCAACACAATATATACCATGAATTGAATATTACGAAGTATATAAGGGGTCCTAAGAGGCGTATCATCAACAGACCAAAACTAGATCAACATCTGCTGTTTACACTTTATTCCCTGGCGGCCGGGCAACAATTAAGAGTTTGGCTATTCGCAGGATATATTCAAGAGTTTTGATGAGCGACGATGTTATCTTTCTAAATAAGAACTAAATAGTTCATATTGGATTTTTTCGAGTCTGTTTGATTCTCCCATTTGTAAAAATTGGCGCACAACTAGACTCTCTTAGAAAACGAGATTTTCCTTGTGTTGTGGTCACTGTTGTGGAAATAGCAAAACTCATTAAATCCCTATATTGATTAACTAGAAAATGAGAGCGAATTTAAGCAATGGGGTTATTTAGTTTAGGTCGACACCTTACAATTTCAATAACTTAAGAGATTAAGAGGCTTCTGCTCTTTTGTCACATGGTCATCTGCACCAAACTCTCACTTGACACATGACCGTCAGGCGGATACTATCGTCTGAACTAAATGAGTCAATGTTTATATCACACTGGCATCTACATAAACCTCTCACTTGACACATGGCCACCAGGCGGATACTACCGTCTGAGCAAGTTGAGTCAATGTTTATGTCATATAGTAATCTGCACCAAATTCTCACTTGACACATGGCCACCAGGCGGATACTACCAGCTGAACTAGGTGAGATAGTGTCTATATCACACAGTCATTTACACAAACCCTTATTTTGACAGAAGACTGCCAGGCGGATACTGCCGTCTGAGCCAGCTGAGTCAATGCTCAGACCGTATGGTCATCTACATGACACTCTCACTCGACATAAGGTCGCCAGGTGGATAATTAAACTTTCATTTAATATCCAGCCGCCGGTCGAATAATCACTTTCAAATTAAAATGAAACAATCTTTTTTGCAAACGGTCGCTATGCCTCCGATTAGTTAGAGGCGTAGTGTTTACTTTACAATCCTAACTAAGACTTTTATAACCGTAATAAGCCAACTTACTGTTGATTCAGTTTTAATTTTCTGCCTTTTGGGTTCATGTTTCTCGTTCTCAACCACTATTTCAACTGAAAGACTTTTCCGTTTACTAGAGCTGGTCTGTGTTGAATCGGCTATACTCAGAGATGGTAATTCCATTTTCTTATAATGCACCGTGCGTGTGATATAACGTGCAGGTTTGCTGTTAGGTTAAGAGATGTACATATATAGGCGGGTATGGTGTTGACTGGTTGAGGGTCTCTTTTGTCAGAATTTCTCAATTAGAATTATTAAGTCTGAAGTTTGGGTCTGTTTAGCTCATTTGTCACATAATTTTTATTCAGAATGAAAAATACCAACTGTAAAACAAGAAATTGTCTAATTTGTTTACGAGTAACACATCTTTAGTGTAAAAACATGGCGGACTCTGGTTTTGGATGCAAAGAAGTGAAATTGATTCTGCCTTTAGAATTTTCACTATGAAACACAATAATGTGACTTATGTTGTTATTATTGATCAGTTAAAGGAGGACTGATGCCTCTTTAACATAGCAATGCGACGCAGCAGGTAACGGATTTGCATTGACACAAATTTGCCCGCCCCTCCCCCAGTAGCACAGCAGTATGTCTGCGGACTTACAAAGCTAGAAATTTGGTTTCGATACACGCGGCTGTCTATTGTATAGTTCTGTGCTTAACTTCAAACCAAATAAACAAACACAAACTTGGAATTCCATCAGTCAAACAAATTACTCACACTTTAGCTCTCAGATTACCTCTTTATAATTTTTTATAACCTTTATTACCTTTTTATAACGTACACTACTAGTCGGATCCAATCATGTTGAGTGATGTTATATTTTTAGCCACGGCATAGAGGCTCGTAGAATGACTTTGAGTTATTCAAGTACAAATTTTTAGTTTATAGCTCCGTCATCTCTTGACCGATTTAAGGTCTAATTACAGTTTTGGATTCGAGAGGTCAAACCATTTCGATTAATGTATTTGACCATGCCCAAGGTTCTCGTAGACTAATTTACTCTAATCCTGCCTAAAATAATTTCAAGTGCCTCGGCTATTGAGGATTCCCTCTTGTTTTTTTGTGGTTTTTTTTGTTTTGTTTTTTGCTACAACACTGTGTAAATAATTGGGTGAGCTTATTTAATTTATAAGTGAAACACATAGAGGACACAAGTAGCAGTTAGTGAGATTAATTGCGATACTGATGGTATTTTGGTTTACATTTTTGCGTGACTCTTATATTACTAGAAACTTCGTAACCAACAAACTCCTGGACCCACAACCTGAAACGCCCCCCCCCCAGTGGCACAGCGGTATATCTGCGGACTTACAACGCTAGAATCCGGGTTTCGATACCCGTGGTGGGCAGAGCACAGATAGCCCATTGTGTAGCTTTGTGCTTAATTACAAACAAG